CACTTAAAGAGAGAAGGAAGGAAAGTTTTTCTTAATTTGATTTTGCCTTTTGTGATCTCTTTTCAGCACATTATTCTTGACCTCACACAATGATACATAGTCATGGGAACAGGAGAAAAACATTCAAGAAAAGAAAAAGGGTGTAAAACAAGACAGACTAAATAACAGCCAGAGTCCGCTACGTGACATCAACTTTGCATGCCACGTGCAGGCACGTAACAACCTCCTGGGACAGCTGAGGAGGAAGACAAGGTGTTTGCTCACACAGAATGGGGACGGGGAGCCCCTGAACACAAAGGTAGAATGCCAAGAGACTTTTTGGGATGCGTTTATTTTGAGGGATGAACTGTCTCAGAAACGTCTGCATCTAATGGGAGAGGAAATTCTCAAAGTCAGAAAAAGCTCAGCAATCTGGAACTGGTTTGAACATTGACTAATACAATGCTAGACTAGAGACATTTGAAATAATGAGACAGTAGCCAAAAATAACCACAGCAACCACAACCTTCAAGAAGACACCAAACAGCATCCACAGCAAGTGTGAGACACTACAGCAGGCTCTGCAGATGTAGGAGAGGATCTGGCACATCCCTGAGTCACAGTGATCCTATGTCAACACTCAATCATCCAGCAAACTGCTCAGTGCTGCTCTTCTCTCAGCAATATAAAAGGAATTTCTCTACGCTGAGGTGTCAGGGCCAATGCAAAAGCAGCAGAGCACAAAGGCACATCTGGTTGCTCACAGCAGATGCTTTGAGCAGCACTGGGGTTTGAGCAGTTGCTGTTGCTTTACTGTGCATAGCAGAGATTTTGTTTTGCTCTATTAAAGCTGCTTCACTCTGGCTCCCCCTTGAATTCACTGCTTGCCTCACACTGGAAGGGCTCACTGAGACCAGGTCTGAGCACTTGGTGACCAGGTGCAGCATCTTCCTTCCAGCAAATACACAGCAATGTTAACCTGCACAAGTGCCAATCGAGGCCCTGCAGCCAGTGGCACCCTTGCCCTGGGAGCCCCATGGCAAGCAGGGTGTTACCCACACTGCAGAGCTCTTGTTCAGAAACTGATCGATCCTTTCAAAGCCCCTCAGCACGTTACTCCTATGTGCCAGGTATCAAAAATGCCTTGTACCTGCAGCAGACAAGTTACTATTTTGACAAGCTTATATTTGAATTCAGCAACACATTTTTACATATTGTAGGCAAGCAGAAGAGTTGGTGGGACAGCTGGGGACCTCATCAAAATCATAGGCCTTCTGCCTTCTTCATGCTCTTTCAAGAAAAATGCCCCATTCTGCACTGGAATCAAAGCTGAGAAAGATGTTTTTCTTCTTCCCATCCTGCCACTTGTACTGTCCTCAGATGCACATTTTACTGTCCCATTTGATTTCACAAACACTATGCAGGCATCTCTCCAGCAAGTCACAAACTTGGCAGCATCCAGCAGATGGCATGGGAAAAGCAGCCCCATCTCAGTGGTGCCTTTGTAATATTTACTGGACACGGACGTCTCCCACCTCCTTCACCCTCCATCCCTCCCTCCCATCGAGCTCAGCATTGCAAAGGATTCAGGGACCATGGCAGTCACCATCATTTCACTCCTATAACATGTGCTAGCATGAAGGCACCTCCTAGACCTGAGCTACCCACAGGCTGGCTCAAAGCCCCAGGAACCAAACTTTACAAGAGCTTCGGACTAATTGAAAAGATTCAGAGGAGATCAGAGCAAGCAAGATCCAGAAAACTGTTAGAAAATTAATGAAAGAATATTTCAAAGATTATTGAATGTGAAGAACACCAAGTCCTATGACTCAGGGAGTCCCTGGAAGTGGACAGTGGGGAAAATCATATTCGCTATTCTCATGTTCCTCCCCAACCCAACATCTGGTTTTGGCCACTGGTGCAGGTAAGATGCTGAGGAGACAGGCACCTCAGTCAGACCTGCAGTGCCCTCTCCTCTGTTCCTTTTCTTCTCTCTTGCATCACTGCATCTTCTCTGATTCTCAAACTTGCATTATTTGTAGATATTTAGCATACAGTAAAAGCTCTTCTCAGACTTATCTTCCACACTGTCACTTTAATAAGCTGGACTCCTGAGTTTGCTCTTCTAACCTCTTCATCTGGCTACCACAAATCTTACCCTTTGAGCACAACTCTGTTCCCTCCACTCTTCTCTTATGCTCATGCTGAAGGCTAGGCCAATGCTATTAGTCCCAGTTCCTGCTGTTGTTTTCACATCCGGTTACCTTCTGCTTATCTCTGGTTGGGCTCACTTTGTTCAGCGCCCTACTTCTGCTTGCATGTGGTGTTATGCTGGGGAACTCCTTGCTGCATAATGTTGTGGAAGTTAAGAGCCCTCGTGGTTTCATAAGCAGCAACTAGATAAATTCATGGAAGAAAAATCCCTCAAGGTCATATACAGGAAAAGGGACCCAATCCTAGTTCAGCAAGCCAAGCCCTCTGAGACAAAACTTGGAGGTTGTAAGAATTTTCTGACCTGCATCGTTGCACACTTCCCCCGTCCCCATCCTCCTTCCTGGGAGCCCATTTCTAGCCATTGCTCTCATCCACAGAGCTCTTATTATATTCTTGGGCTCCTGTATTGTCCCATCCCAAACATCTGTCCAGGTGAAACAGGACTAGCACTGCACATCTGCCAAGTGCCACACTGCAAATGGGCTACATACCCAAAAGCATAAACACACACAATTTACTGTCCAGCAACACTTACAGAGCTGGGAAAGGCCTTCCTGGTAGAATATATCTAATAAGATTAACTTCAAGTACTCATAACCATCTCTGAATAATTTTGCTCATTAGGCATAGGTAGCTCTGAACTTCACATTCTTCCTAACGTGATATATCCAAGAGCCACATGGTAACAAATAGATCCCTGTGGGCATGAAAATGACAGAGTATTGTGTGTTTCTCTGTACCCCATCTAATACAGGGCACATTCCACTCTCCTAACAGAGTACTAGAAGGACATCCAAGTCAGCTTCTTTGCAGGAACACTCCTTTGATTGCTGTGAGCTTTTCTAGCAAAAATCTTGGCTCAGGCATTCAGAGGTTTCCACATGGATCCCTACAAACTCTGCAGGAAATGGGGATTGCTCTAAAAGTCCTCTCAAAAAAATAAGCTCATCAATTCAGTAGCACAGACAACTGGTTACCCTTGTGACTTTCTTCCTGGAAGAACTCAATCAATGAAGTTTATAAGTACTAAAAGGAAAGTTTTTCAGCTCCCTTACACACACAGGAACAGCATGAGGAGTTGCCATAGTTACTGTCTGTCCTGCACTGCTGCAGCTCCCAATCCATCTGCTTTCTGCCTTGGACAGAAATCAAAGGACAGGCAGGCAACCAGTCTGTGCATGGGTGCCTGCCCAGCCTGGACAGAGAAATGCAATTCAGCAAACTTTCAGTGGATGTCCAAAGCTAGGACAGAGCTGAGTTTTGGAAAAAGGAAGCGTACAGGCCCCAAAGAAGCTCTACAACATACCAAGGCAGCAATGTGGCTGCAGGGCAAAGCCATGGGGGGAGAGTAAGCAGACAAGTACCTAACATCTCCCAGCATGCTGTTCAACAGTGCAAACGGTGGGATGTGCCTCTCCTCCCCACTCACACGGTCCCAGCAGTGGTGTCCAACGTGAGAGTGTGTACTCCATGTCCCAGCTGTATTTTCTCTTGGCCCAGCAAGGCTGCTGTCCTCACAGTTTAAGTGCATTTCAGAAGAAAGCAGCAGTTCTGCCAATCATCCTGAGGTGCAGGGGCCCAGGCTGCCAGCTGCTGCCAGGGAGCAACTCTGAAAGCTGCAGAGGCACATTTGATTCAGACAAAAAAGGCTACAGAGCATCACACTGAGCCCTAACCCATCCCTGCTGAGCCTCCCCAGCAGCCCTGACTGGTCTCTTGATGCACTCCTGCACAGCTCTTTCCATGGCCTATTTTCAACATTGTTTTGGACATCCCACTGAAATAAATCTGTTGTTCCAGTGATGGCTCTCTGGCCCTCAGATATAGAATAATGCTCCAGGAGGAAGCTGCCACTCTTCAGGTTTTTTTGAGATAGTCTACCCTTTGACAGTACTCGGTCAAAGATTCTCCCAGGTCCTCTTTCTTCTGCTGCCCATTTGCAAAAAGGTTTATAAGCTATCTTTGCTGAGGTCCATGCTCTGATGAAAACACAAGTTTACTTGCTTGCGTTGCAATTTGGATTCTTGCACTTTGCTCTGCTTCAGCCACTTAAACAAGTACTAGGTCTGTTACCACTTGTTCAGGGATGTCCCAAACTGTCCTGACTGCAGCTCTGGAGTGTTGCTGAGCTGGATCTGATGCCTTCTCACTCCCAGCTGCATATTCCCTCACGCTATGCACACTTACACACTCCTATCCCACGAATTCACACAGGACTTCTCTGCGGTAAAACTAACCTCATTAAGGTAAGAAATAGTGGACAGAAAAATGTTTGTCCCAACACAAAGGAGTACAAAGTATGAACAAGGGTGAAAGTGAGCAACACAGAAACAAGGCAGGCATAGGCAGAAGAAGGCACCATTTCTCCATCAGTGAGACTTCCAACTGCCTACAGCTGCCAGGTGCATTTCTTAAGGAAAACAGTGGCAGAGCTCTTATTAGCTCCTACCTACATAAGCAATTCAGGAGAAATGGGTTTACCTCCAGAAAGCTTCCCAGATTTGCACTTCAACTTTGAACTCACACCTTCCTGAAGGAGTAAGTGCCCGCACACAACACCGGCAACGGGGGACCTGCCCTCGCTGCCACCCTGCATCAACGTGTTTCTCCACCACATTAGTGAAAGCAGCTGAGGACACTATGAGCTTGGGGTCATAGAGGCAAAGGATAACTGAAGATCTACGGAAGGACCGTCCAAGTCTCATGCGGGAAATGACAGATGATGTTCAGTGTAGATCAGCATTAAGTTACAGACACAGAAAGAAGTATCCTAACTTTACAAGTAAAATAACAAGCTTTCAACTTACCATAACCATTCAGGAAATTATCAGCTCATTGTTCCACAGTGGTCAAAAATGAAGTCTAACACTATGAGATTCTAGTAAAGAAGTGCGGCACAAAAAGAAGAGAATGCTAATTTCCCACTGCATCAACCCATGGCGTGCCAGCATCTCCAAGGCTGTTTGCAATTCCAGTGCCACCTCAGCCTCTGCTGCCAGCTAGAACAGATAAACAACAAAGCTAGTCATAAGTATGATTTCTGAAGAGGAAAACCCTGAGAAACAAGAACTATTTAGCCTGGAAAATGAAATGACTCAGGAGGAATGTGACAGTTCTATAAAATTATGAGTAGTCTGGAGAAGAGGGATATGATCAATTGCTCTCTCTGTGCAGACACAACAAACATGGAGAGATGCTCCTCATGACATGCAGGTAGGCTGTTGGACTCTGCCACAGGATGCTGTAAATACTAGAAATTTCTATGGGTGCTGGGAGAGCACACAGAAACTACTTACCACAGATTCTCCCTGTTTCAGCTATCTTTCCTAGGGCCCTGTTCTTGGCCACTGCAAAAATAATGGGCTAGATACACTTGTGGTGTGATCCAGGACAAACGTAATGGCCTTGGGTAGGAAAGTCAAGCCCAGCTTGAGGATCCGTCCTGCTAAGACTTGTGTCAGCAGCTGGGTGAAACCAGAATTATGGTAGATAGAAACCACGGGCAGTGCCTCTTCACAGACAGGCCTTTGACCTCTCTGGAAGGCCAGGCAAAGCAGCAGCTATGACTTCAACAAGATTTAAAAACCTTGGATGCCACACTGCACAAAAGCACAGCTTAACAGTGACAGTAAAGAATGGGTTCATCTCACCCACAATTCAGCCCCAGCACACTCCCAGAGGTGCCAGAGCTACCCAAGGCAGCTGGCATGGCCAGCAGCCTGGCCTGCACTGTACCTGCAGCCAAAATGCTCGGGTGAAGCCGAAGCAAACCCATCATCCAGGTCTGCTGCCAAATCCTCTAATCCTGAAGCTGACACATAAGGTGACTGAGGTGACCTACTCTTGCCCTCGGTATTTTCAATCCCAATTGACTGCACTAGGCTGTTCAGAAGGGTGCTGTGGGCTGGACATAGGCAGCTCTGTACTCGCTTCTGTGCTGTTCAGCATCTGTTGCTTCAGAAGCGTTTTGGTTCCACAACTGCCTGGAGGTAGAGGCCCTGCAAGGAGGCAGTAACACACAATTTCACTGAGGGAATGTTCTGATCTCATGTCACAACTCAAGACGGAGCTGTCAACAGATTATTTAACAATCTAATTTGCATCTTATTTTTTTTAAGTAGGTGTTTTGTGCCAGCCTCAATGAACAAGACTGCTCATTGTCAAGAGCAACATATAATCCTAAGTAGACTAAACTCTGATAACGGAGACTGATCCCAGTTCAGGGAGGTTCTCACCTCTAAAACCAAGCCAAACATAGAGTCTGAAGTATGAGGATCTTATTTTGTGAAAATGGAGAAAGAACTAGAACATTCAAATTCATGGCCGTGCTGGTAATTTCCTTAACCCTTCTTAAAGTTGAGTAAGAATCACACTCAAAAAATTAAGAAGCAGAAGACATAAGGAATCTTGACTTTATTGATGCTTTTGATAGTGCATTCCATGTGGATTCCCATAAGCATAGTAGGGAAACACATGTCTAGAGGAATTATGATGAGTCAGAAACCTCAGGACTCCCTAAAACTGTCCCTTGATGGCAAGGGAAGCACCTAAACAGAGAACAGATGGAGTCACAGCAGAAAGCAGAGGTAAGTGTTCTTCCACCTACCTACAAGGCCATCTTGTGCAAAAAAGGCAAGTCATGCTCTGGACACATTAAGAGAAGAGCTTTATACACAGCAAGTGAAGTAATTTTTTTCCCTGAAGATCTTGGTGGCACAATACTGTCTTCAGGGCTTGGCTACAGGTTTGCACATGACCACATAAAGGGATCACCAAGCCATCGATGTGTTATCCGGGAATCAGTCATAGCAGCAGGCAGCTTTGTGCTGCACTGAAGATGCAACTGTGGTGTCACAGGGGCTCAGAGGCACAGCTCTCCTCACAACCTGCCTGTTCTGCTCCTTGCTGGCTCCCTCCCATGTCCCACTCACTACCTGTATGGAGGGCTCAGCCACCTGCAGGGTGGAGCACAACCTCAGCACCAAGTACCCAGCAGAGCTGCAATGCCCCACCATCACAGGTACCAAAACAGCTGCTGAAAAACCAAAGGTGCATAGGACAGCCCTTTGGCATCCCTCCCAGCTCCCTGTGCTGGGAAGTCCAGCTGCCTGACCCCAAGGTCCTACCCAGACCTACCGCTGTATGATTTGAGGAAAGAACCTGGCTTAGCTCTCTGCTTGAACACTCCATCTCCTTGGATGGTACCTGCATCCCCAAAAATGCAGCTGCTAGAGCTGTGCATTCAATATAAAAATGTACCAACACCCTCCACAGATAAAAAAAGAAAGTAGACAGCACTGTCACAAAATCTTTCACCTGATCCCAGTTTGCTGCCTAAGGCATGTGGATGAATGGCCCCTTGGAGACTGCACTGTCATCACTGACCAAAGAGAGCATTCAGGGTACACCTGTATCAGTACATGAGACTAGCTTAGGTCTGTCCTCTGTGCCAAGGCCAACTGGCATGGAACAAGCCCCCCTGCCCTTTTAAACTTGCTTTGCCTCCAAACATGACAGACCTTGCTAAATCCTGATCCATCCCCAGGAGATGTCTGGGAAGGTCCAGGCCAAGACATGCCAAGAACTGTACAAACAAAGCAGCACTGATGATGGTGATCCATGGCTCAGGATTGCCCCAAATCCTTAGTGCTAGTAGGGAAAATCTTTTGGGAATGGGCAACTTCTAGCTCTATTTCAGAAGAGGTTCCCTGTCCTCTCTGCACACCTTGCCCTGCACTTCTTTCTGCTCTGTTCACACAGACACTCATTCTGAGCAGGCTCAGCAGGCACTGGACAGACTCTCAGACTAACAGCACAGTAGCACAAGGAAATAAAATGTGACCTGAATTAAAAATGATCATTCATATTTCAATAAGTGTCTAAATTTTAATTTTTCATTAAACCCTACTAAGAGCCCTTTAACTCAATAATTCTCAGCCGACTTCTAGGACTAACTACTCTGACAAAATTCAGTATTCAAGCATAAAACCAGTTTTAACTGCTCTCTTGTAGGTTTACTTTATAAACCATTATCATTGCCATCCACCCGTTGAACAGAACAGCCCTGCCATTAGAAAAAAACATGATCATCAGAAATTTCCCAAATCAGTAAAAGTTTTGCCTTGAGTCTATGTAGAGTTGCTCTTGTTGGAGGGGATCCCTCTTCAGGGTATGCTGCTCTTCCCTGGACTCATCTGCGAGAATGGCTGACACCCACCACAGCTCCCTGTGCAAATCCACCACTTGCTGTGCTTAGTGCAGATGCAGGAGATGAATTTGCTGGGACTGTTTCAGGACCCTGCTGTGGGATGGATGGATGGATGGATGGACAGCAGTGCTTCTGCAGGCATGCTCAGCAGCCTGGCCTGAGCTGTACTTGCAGCCAAAATGCTCGGGGCCAAATGAATATGAACTCAGACTTGTGCAAGGGGCCCTGAGGAATACAGGGAATTTGATTCAGGTTACCGGTGCCACTGCTGCTGTTCTTGGAGCAAACCAGAATTTAGACTTGAACTGTGTGTTGGAGGAGCTGCAATGCCCAGTGTGCAGGCATGCTGGCAGCAGCAGCACTGCAGTAGCTCAAGCACACGCTGGAGCCCATTGCAGCTGCGCCACTCTGCAGCTTTTGGACAAGCATTTGTTAGATGGGGGAGAGACTAGCAGCGTACCTCAGCTCAGCTGCCTGGGGAACAGCAGGGATTAACATCTGGGGAAGAGGCCAGGAGGAATCGGTCAGCCATTTGAAATGCCTCTGGCACGAAGGGTGGCTAGCTTGGGTTACACCAACAGCATCACTTCTGGCTCCAGGCAAACCTTTCTGGGACAGGGAGGAGACTGTCTCCTATCTGCTCCTTTTGCAATTCATAAATCTACACACTCTAAACCAAGACGCTGGGTGCTGTTACCCAACCAAGGCGCTACTGCCAGCTCTGCGTCTCTCCCAGAGCCGCTCAGGTGCTCTGCAGGAGCCGCAGCTGAGCGGAGCAGCGTCCGGGGCAGCCAGCAGGCAAGACGAGGCACGATGGTGCAGCGGGAGGCGCTGCCGTCAGCGGGTACCCACCCACCCACTGCACGCACTGACTCACAGGCAGCGCAACCAAAGCCTCTGGGATTCCTCCCTAAGCCATGTGACCCAGGTGGACCTCAGGTAGAGCGACTCACAACCACTTGTACGCATAAAGGAAGGCTGGCTAACCAACACACTGCAAGTAATCTCCAGATCCTTCATGGCCCCCCCAACACAAATTGTTGCTAACCCTGTCCCCTGGCTGTACCACAAATATTAACTGTGATTTTGGACTCCCTTATAACAAGTGGCATTTTTTTTCCCTCTGAGCTCCCAACCTGCAGCTCTTTTTTTCACTGGCAAGTGTGAAATCAACGAAAGGAAGTATTCAGGAATTTATGCCACTCTTTCAAATGTGATTTACTCAACGAAGACAGCTGGGTGGATTGGAAGATCCTAACAGGAGTCTTTGTGTTCAATTTATTGCTGAAAATATCCTCAGGTATCAAAAAAAATAACTAAAATAACACTTACAAACAGATCACAGCCTGGAACTTCAAAGGAACACTGCCTTTGTGAAAGCATGTTTGTAGCTATGGGGACTTAAACACATTACCCTCAAAATTAATGCTCCATAGACAATAGGAAGACTCCAACACAAGCTGCCAGGATTGTGTCATGACACTGGGCAGCTGTGCCACTGAAAACTGCCCACTCAAAACCCTTGATGAATTTATGGATATGTTCACTTACAGGCTGAGACTCTCAAAAGGACAACAGGCAATTCACACACTGCGCCAGGACTGAGGCAAACAGGGCAAAAAGGACCAGCTGCATGCCCTGTGCTACAGACACTGCTCTGGGCAAGAACTGTTGGGAGTCTCCTTAATGCAGAAAGAGATAGCAGAGGGATACCTGGCCTCTGCTCCCTCTTCCCAAAAATGGGCCAGACCAATTCCCCATTTGCTTCTATAAAGT